CATCTTTGCCTAGCCCAGGAAAGCATCGGCTCTGCTCAGTCTCCCCAAGACCCTCACCCCAAAAGATTGCAACCTGCTTCTGTGTGACAAACGTGGAGCAGGAACTTAATGCGTCAACATGCAAGTGTGTGCTTGTTTGCATATTAAAAGCATATACTTGCCTTCTGTGGGTAAAAATGCTGTCAGAATTTCCAAATTAGGGAAGCGTTAGGGGCTGCCAGTATTCAGTTTTATTTTTCACTGTATAATTGCATGAACAGAAAGGGAACTCCTTCTACCACGGAAAAACAGGAATTGTTATTCTGGTGTGACATTTCAGGGGGAAGGACGGTGACACGCACGGTACAAGGTGACACTGTTTAATGGGCAGAGCGATACAGCTGGAGCAAATAGAAAACAGCTTTTCAGCACCCAAAGGTGCTGAACACCTGGTAGGGACCTTTGCTCTGAAAAAGTTACTATCTAGTAGAACAGAAACAGTTAAAGGATGCGATAGAAGAAGATGGTGAGAGGCACCGATCCGTAACCTCTTAAAAAACATCTTGCAGAAAAGCAAACGGATCCTCTCTGCTGGGCGCTGGCTGAAGCCCTGCCATTGTTGGCTAATTAAGTTGTTGTTGCTCACTTTGGATTTTCTCCAGTGCAATCAAGCACAGGACCCAGCTTCCTGACCGCGGACCCAGCCGGCGCTGTCGTCGGCCCCCCTGGAGGCACATATCGCACACTCGCCTCTGGCTTCAGCCCTTCTCCAGCACGCAGCCCGTTGGAAGTATCCTCCTGGCTGCGGACAGCCGCCCGCGGCACGGGGCACAGGGGGCTCCGCGGCCCCTTCCTCGGGCCCTCGGCGCTCCTCCGCGTCTGGCTGAGCGGCAGCAGCTACAGCAAAGCAGCCTTCCCTCGGGGGCGAAAATCAGTATTTCTCCTCCGCATCATTTATGAGCCAGTTTCGTTCCTTTCTCCTCCTCGGAAAGGGAATAGGGCCTATAAGATCATATTCTTTATTCACCTTCTCCCCAGTAATTCTTAACCCCCCCGGCCACCTTAAACTGAACGTGATTGAGGAGCGAATGGCTGAAAAAAAAAAACTAAGTTCTTGCAAATGTTGTGGGAACAGATGATCAAGCTGACAAGAGAGAGAGATTGCTAATGTCTCCGTCAAGAGAAAGGCAGCAGAATGAATTCAGCTCTGCAAACAACCGTGATGGGTGTCCGGGCCTTGTTAGACTCCAGAAAATCTACTCTTTAGTCAAGGTTTCTCTCTCTTGTGGTTTCTCTCTCCGGTGTTCAATAAAGTGTGAACTCCTGTGAAGCTTTTCCGCTAGTTAGGACATGCATGACGTGTGGCTTTTCTGGTGCTTCATAAGCAACGGAGTTGTGCTGCAGCATTAGGAGAATTCAGCTAAAAACCCCGTCAATCACAAGACATGAATGCATAGATATTTATGTAAGTTATTTGAGAGTTTATTTATGAGTCCTGTTGCTCATGGAGCTGCTTACTAGTTCGAGGATTTTCCAAAAAGCCGGATGAAAGGAACAGAGGGAACTGCCTACCCCGGAAAGCTGGTGAACCAGCTGCCCAGTGGCCTCGAGGTCCGCGGCAGCCTGGAGGGGAGATGGCAGAAACCCTGTGGCCACCCAGGGAGAGGTCAGCCCTTTAGGTTAATTGTATATTGTACAAAAACGTTTCCTGGGCCATTTGGTAGCTGCTGTGTTTCAGTGGCATTGACTCAGTTCTTGCTTCATCAGGTAATTACATTAAGAATTTGAGTTTTAAACACTCTTCGCTCTTTGCCAAGCAGAAAGCTGCCATTTACATCTACTTTTTGTTCTTCCTTTTCGGACCAGCTTTTCAAAGGTTTGTAAGCACCTAGCAAAGCAGTGAGATGCCTCGAGGGTGTTTCAGAAGTGCCTTAGCTCGTTTGTCCCTATCTTATTTGAAAGTCTAGATAAAAGATAGGCGCTGGTTTGGCCTTATCTTCCAGTGACACACTCAAGGAATTTTATGTTTTGAGATGAAAGATTTTCCTTTATGGACTTATGCACCTTTGTCTCTATTTTAATTCTTGTTCTGCTAAATGTCTCATAATTCTCGTCATTTTTTTGTTCCCATCAGTTTTTTTGATACACAAATAAGGCCGACAAGACTGCAATTTCCAGGACTACTTTAAGCTGATTTTAATATAAGATTTTTTTATTAGCTGCTTTATATGAATGTTTGCAAAAGCTACCCTGTTTTTCTCCTTCCTCTGTTGTCATGGTGGCAGCCCCCACAATCCAATCAGTGCCCGAACATTAAATTTGTCTCCCATAAAGCAGGTACGCTGTTCTTCTTCAAGAAGTAAGAAAACATTTCAGATCCTCTTTGGCCCACTGCAATTAGATCATTTGTATAATTTTATTATTATGATGATTTTAACTTTCTTGTTTCTCCAAGGTTAATAAGGCCGTAGTTAAAATGAGCAGTGTTAGAGCATCAGAACGACCACTGTGGTCCTCACCAAGGGTCATCCAAGCTTCGACTCTTACCTCTGGTAATGCTGGCAGTGATGGTCACTATCAAAACTATTCACTTGTGCACGCAGACACAAAGACACACACAGTTCCAGCAAACACACAAGGCTCATCCCGGGAGAGTCCCAAAGCCAAAAGAGAGCTGTGGCTCCCCCCACCATTAAACAAGTCTTCAAGCCTAAATTTAGGAATCTGAATCTGCACAAGATTCCTCAGTCAGCTGCCTGCTTTTCAGAACTAAATTCATAAGGTAACAGACCAAACTGGACTAGGTTAATATAATTCTATTACACTGTTTACACTATATTGTAGTATTTATTTTA